CATAATTTTGCAGTTGCAATGGCTAAATGAAACCGTAAGTTCTATGCAAAGAGTTTCTTCTCTTTCGGTTGGGGAAATCTGTCCCGGCTTCTTGCTTTCTAGTGAGATTTGATCTTCAAAATTTAAATGTAAATCAGTTGTTATCTTCCGTCTTCTAAATTCTTGTTCTTTTATTGTCAATTCTCCTTAATAGTGTATTTTTCTCATATTCTCTAACACTCAATAACATCTTCCGTCCTAGTGGCTTTATTGCCTTGCTGGGGATGAAATGATTAAAAAAAGAAAAGCTAGTGAGGGTTTACCTCCATATACAGCAATAATTGGTATGGTTAAACAATCGCTTTAGGTGTGTAAAGTCAACAGGTTCATGTTCCTAGTGCTTATCAAGGCATATTCCGAGTTTCACTTGGAACTATTGGGATAAGTGTACATTAAGTCCTACCAGCCACCCCTTTGTAAAGAGAATGGTTGGTTGGTGTGTTTAAAGGTAATTAGGCATTAAGTGTTATATTTTCCTGCATATAACCTTTGTCTTCTGCCTTATATTTCTTTACTCGCTGTGTACATTTTTGTCCTCCATTTTGCTATGACAAGAGAGAACCGTTAAATTGATTCAGCTGTTTCTTTCTTGTTATTCATTGTTACATTTCGATATTACTATTTTTCAAGTAATATATGTTGTTACTGTAGCATGATCTATTTCTCCCATTAATGGATCTGTCCTGAACACATATATTTAGAAGAACTCTCCGGGTTTGACAGTACTCAGTTTGTCAAACTCTCTAGTTTCGGGTAGGGAGGAACCAAGTTGAGGTGAGCCAAAGGGCAGAGTCTCGTTTATACGAGATCTAAGGGAAATTTTTGCCCTTGCCGTTGGGATAGGAACATCCAACTAAAAAAAACAAAAAACAAAAAAACGGCCTTTGCCACATCCCCCCGCCTTGTGTGGATGACTTGGTAAATACCGAGTTCATTAAAACTTTTTATTTTAAAACAATTCACACCAAGCAAGGTGGGTGTGCCACTAGCACGCAAGGGGTTATAGAGGATTGAGAAGAAGAGTACATGTTGGAAAAGGATACAGAGAAGGACGGGGAACAAGCTCAGGATGTCAGATGTCGATTGACATTACACTTGAATATTTGGATATTATAGTCATCGGGAAAACAAATAAGGGGAATGGAGTTCCACAGATTTAAGTGCGAGAGAAGAAGCTGTTTGAGTAGAAGAGACGGTTAGATTTTATCATTTTGACAGTGAAAGGGTGAGACCGAGATGCCAGCCTGGTGGCTCGTTTAAATTCATGCAGTCCGGGAGCCAACGAAAGTCGCTCGTCGAAACAGTTGCCATGAAAATACTTGTAGAAATGACATAGGGATAGCGATTGTAGACTAGATGCCAGATCAGAACCTATCATCTCTGGATTTTATCGAGGACCTCGAGACGTACAACGGAATCACCAGACCATATATGACAGCAATATTCTATTCAAAGACTGATGGTTGATTAATAGATTTGAAGGTTGGATTCAGACGAGAAAAACTTTCTGGCACGACACGGAGAGCCAATTGTCCTTGTTGTAGATGAAGCTATTGATTCAATGTATTTATTCCATCTGCTGTCAGTGGGCAGCGTGAGACCAAGCAGGTGTAATGACCCGCTATGAAAGAGTTGGGCATCAACCATTCTGATGGGAGGCAGAGAGGGTTCTCTGTGGTGGGTAAACGAGAGCAGCTTCGTTTTGGAGGTATTAAAGTTTACAAGCCATTTCATGCTGCAGGCAATCACGGATTGGAAGTCCATTTCGACATCAGCAGCCAGGTTAATTGTTTTCGTGTTCAGCAGCCAGGTTATTAGCCTTGTACCATATTTGTACATATTTGTACAGGAATTATCGTTCATTGAAGCTTAATGTTAAGCAAATTTGTATTGTTTCAAACAATTCTACTACATTCACCCCCTCTCTTTGCTATGAATTGTCTTTTAATTGGTCCGTTTTTAGCGCACTAGTACAAAGAATTTTATTTGAAAAAAAAAAAGAAAGCATGAAATTTAAGCAAGACATTGAATTAATTCTAACCGGGAATGGGCTTATTAGATCGGATGGATTCAGGAATGGGCTTACTAGATTAGATAGATTCGGGAAAATACTTACTGGATTGAACCTAATCTGCAATGGGATTACGGACCGAATCGGGAATGGTATTGCGCGATGGAATTACTGGACCAATTACTGGTCAATATCATAAGCCTTATAGGATTTGGGAATGGCTTTACTGGTTTGGGTCGATTTGGGAATAGGCTTACAGGATTGTATCGAATCAGGAATGGATTGGATCATACGGGGAAGGGGCTGACAGGATTGAATCGAATCGGAAATGCGCTTACTGGATTGGATCGAATCGGAATGAGCTCATCTGAGTTGGTTTGATTCAGGAATTGGCTTCGATGGAATTGTGGATGGGCTTAATGGATTGTATCGAATCAGGAATGGGCTTACTGGATTCGATGGAATTGTCGATGGGCTTAATGGATTGGATCGAATCGTGAATGGGCTTACTTGATTCTATAGAATTGTGAATGGGCTTGATGGATTGGATCGAATCGTGAATGGGCTTACTGGTTTGGATCGAATCGTGAATGGGTTTACTGGATTGGATCGAGTCGAGATATAATCGAATCAGGAGTAGGTTTACTGGATTTAATCGAATCGTGAATTGACTTACTAGATCGAATCAGGAATAGACCAATTCGAAAATGCTCTTACTGTATATGTAATTGCGTTTAAGCTAATTGCATTGGGCTAATCGTAAAGAGGCTTACTGGATTAGATAGGATCAGAATGGGCTTTACTGAGTTGGACTGATTCGGGAATGGGCTTACTGGATTGGATGTAATTGCGGATGGGCTTGATGGATTGCATCGAATCTGGAATGGGTTTATTGGATTGAAGCGATTCGGTAAGAGATGTACTGTTTGGATCAAGTCGGTAATCAGTTTACACTGGATTGCATCTTATTGGGTTTGGGCTGACTGGCGTGGATCGTTTCTGGAAGGAATTTACTTGATCTTATATATGTGTTTTCACACGCGACATAAAACATAGGATATGTGGATATACATACATACACACACACACACACACACACACACACGCATATATATATATATCCTATGTTTTATGTGGATATATATATATAATATATATATATATATATATATATGTTTTATATATATATATATATATATATATATATATATATATATATATATATATATATATATTCACACACAGACACAGACACACACAGACACACAGACATATATATATATATATATATATATATATATATATATATATATATATATATATATATATATATATATATTACAGTGGTTAAGTAAATGGGGACTTTATCAAGATCAAAATGTTTGACGATATTATGATTAAAAGTGCTGAATATTCGAGAGCATGAAACATGATTTTCCATGTATGGTGCTCATCTCACTTTTACAATCATATATATATATATATATATATATATATATATATATATATATATATATATATATATATATAGGTAGCAAATTCTATTTTAAGCATGTCTGGATGAATAAATTACAAACATTATGTCTGCTTATTTTTATCATTATCCTTTCATGTTTACGAATATTTTGATTTGTAATATATTCTATCTATCTATCTATCTATCTATCTATCTATCTATCTATCTATCTATATATATATATATATATATATATATATATATATATATATATATATATATATATATATATATATATTGGTGATCTTTAACCAAACACGTATAAATTAAACCCGTTAACCAAATAAAATCTCCTCTCTCTGTCCCCCTTCTCTCTCTCTTTATCTCTCTCTGTCTCTCTCTCTCTGTATATATATATATATATATTGAGTTTATTTGGACGGGTTTCGATGCCGGCTTGAAGCCTTCGCATATCTAGCCGCACTAATGAACTGTGATTTGTCGAAACAGTCTGTCTGTGGACTATATATATATATATATATATATATATATATATATATATATATATATATATATAACATAGTAATGCATATATATAATATTTTATTATATGTAATATATATTATTATATTAATATATTATATTAATACATTATATATAATATAAATAATATATAATATAGTATATTTTTTATTATTTTATATTAATATATGATAATATATACATATACATATATATGTATACGTGTCTCTATATATGTATATATATATAATTTTATATATATGTATGTGCATATATGTATATATGTGTGTCTATATATATATATGTGTATATATATGTATATGTATGCATATATATATATCTGTATATGTGTGTGTCTCTGAAAAATTGATGTGTATTTACTTTTTTAGTTAATCATCATTCAAGCTTTATTAAAAAGTCGGAACTTTAAATAATGTCTGTCTTCAGTTGGAGAATTGGTGCAACGACCGTGTTTTATAGATTTTGAAACGAACTTTGAAAAAGTAGGCCATAAAGATGTGTTGGAACTGCTTAGTAACCTTGATATATTTGGGAAGGAAATTGAATAATCCAGAACCTATAATTGGCAGCAAATCGTCTGCATGCGGATAGAAAATGTTTTCAGTACATATGCAAAAATAGAAAGCGGTGCGAGACAAGGATGTGTCTTCTCGCGGGAATTATTTAACCTATATATCTAGGCCAGTTTGAGAGAATTAGGAGTTCTAGCAGGATTCATTATTGGCAGCCTCATTCTTAGCAAATTAAAATAGGAATATAACATAGTGTTGATAGCAGACACGTCAAGAAAACTTGAAAAAACTCTTACAGAAGATAGTGAAGGAAAGCGAAAAGAAAGAAGAAAACAATGTCCAAGAAAACGGAATGAATAGCCCCAAATGCAAATTAAAAATTGTGAAACCGAAGTAAATCAAGTACAAAAATTTAAATAATTGGGGAGTGTCTTAATAAAGGACAAAAACTGTGACACTGAAATCTGAATGCGTATTGTGATAACCAAAGCACGGTATTAAGAAAGAACAAAATTTCTTTAGAGACAAGGAAATGATACTTGAATTGTTACATGATAAACGTCCTTCTGAATAGTACTGAATAATGGATGATGTCTTCTGAAACGAAGAAGATAATTGAAGCAACAGAAATATTCTTCTACAGGAGGATTCTTCGGACACCATGATCCGAACATGTGTGTAACGACGAAGTTTAAAAAAATCGAAGCAAAATCGAGACATACTTAACATCAGGAAGAGATAGTTGAAATTTCTAGGGCACAGATTGAAGCGGGCTTGGAAAATTTGATACTCACATAACAGATTGAAAGCAAGAGAGACATAGGAAAACAACGTATAACAGCATTTATTAAGAGCTACGAATATCAGGAAATTGTGGAGAGCCGCGATCGCCTACGCCCTGAAAGATCACATCACACAGATCAAATTGTTCCTGTGCTTCATGAAATTATAGAAAAAAACATCGTGTAGGTATGGATTAAAAACCAAAGTACGAACATAATCGATGGGGCTGTAGATAAAATTATACAATGATACTTCGACAGATTGAAAGCAAGACAGATAGAAGTTAGGTTAAATTATTTCAGGGTGGACTTAAGTATGAATTCCTAGTTGCCACCTTCTCGAAAAGATTCTTCCTCACTCCTCCTCTCCCTTCTCCTCTATCCCCGCTACCACAACCACCTATTTGCTTCAGCCTTTTGCACTCTGTGTCCTCCCACCTCTTATATTACATCTCCTCTCACCTCCTGTGCAGTGTAGCCACCCAAACCCCAGGGTACTGACAGCACTTCATGGGAACTCGTTCTTTCGACGTGACCCTACTGCTCGTTTCCCAGGGTTGTGGCAACGGGGAAAACACTCAGGTTTGTCGACATCACACAAATCGAGGGAATTTTGAGAAAGGCTTTTTGCAAACATACTTCTGTTGTTGTTTGTGGTTGTTGCTAAAACAACAACTATCGACAAGAAAAGAGTTCCAGAAAGCAAAAAGAAAATGCAGAAACGCAAAGAACTACAAGAATTTTTATTAGTGTAAAGATAAAAAAAGAGAAAACCACAATAAATAAAATAAGCTACTGTATCATCACTAAAGTCACCACTACTACGACGATCACTGCTAATAATAATAATAATAATAATAATAAGGTGAAGACAGAGATGAAGAAAAGATTAAGTAAAACTAATACTCCCAACTAGCAGTAGCACTGAAAATTTTAAAGTCTTCATTTTGATGGGTCTAATACATCGTAATTCTTAAGTTAATGATTGAATAAGCTCTTTGCTAAGCCAACGTCTATAAAATACCCGTGTAAATTACCATCTTACATTGTTAAATATTTGAGCTTAGTTTTAACAAAATATTCCAGTAACAATCATAAACATGAATACAGGTCATTATTTAAAATGTATGCCTTCCAAAAGCTAAGCAAAGTATTAAGATACAGAAAAAATATCGTTAGAAACAAAGAAAAGTGTTGAAACTTGACTAATGCATGGAATAATAATGCAACACAAAAGGTACTTAGAACAAAATGTATTGAAACAAGAAAGTGTACACAATATTTACATATAGTCTTTTGTATATTCCTGGTAAGACCGTTCCTGGAGAATGTGTTGACGGAGTCGCAGTCGGGCAGAGTCTCTGGTTGAATCTCTTGATTCCTCCCTCTATTCCCGGTACCAACAATATTTATATGGTCGGTACTCCACTATGTAAATTAGGTGGATCCTACCACAACAAAAAGAACACTGAACGATAGTGACATTTCTAAGATTTCATTAAATTCGTATAAAAGATTTGCCGGACACGAATAAATGTCAAATAAAAGAGAATTGAACTGATATGTAATCTCAGTCGTTCTTTATGGCAGTGAGTGCCAGACAATCTCAACGCAGATGGAGAAAATACGTCAAGCAACAGAAATATGGCTCTACAGGAGGATGCTGAGAATACATAAAGGACACTTATACTTAACATCAAGAACATAATGAGGAAATAGAACTTGAAAAATTTGATACGCACAGGTCAGATCGAAGGCAAGAGACACAGAGGATAACAAAGCATAACTTACTTGGCCAGCTTGAGTGAATAGATGATGACGATAAGACAAAGTTTACTGAGTGCGAAAAATAACAGGAAGATGTGGAGAGCCATGATCGCTGACGTCCTGAAGGGACAAGGCGCATAGAAGAAGGTAAAAAGGTATGACTCAAAATTGAGATTCTTTTCCTTTCACTGAAGCAGACATTTAAAAGCGTGAAAATGTTTACATCCCATCTATCCCTTTCCATTCCTTCCTCTCTCTTTCCATTCCTTCCTGCCTCTCTCTTTCCATTCCTTCCTCTCTCTTTCCATTCCTTCCTCTCTCTTTCCATTCCTTCCTCTCTCATTATTATGTACGCTTTCTTTTTCTAACTAAAATTAGTGTTTTTGATATATATTTTTCCTCCTCGTAAACAAAATGGAATGGTCCATTATTTAAATGAAGTATTGGCAGGGGGTGATGCACGTGCTAACTTACAAACTTACAGGCGAACAATCAGAATTAAATAATAATAATAATAATAATATCCTAACTCTAAAAACTACAACAATCGGAGTGGAAACCTACTTCACAAAAACCAATGCCTCTTTCCTACAAATAGTAAAATACCAAATCACTTCATCAACAAAGAAGCCTCACTCTTCAAGAAACAGCTTCAATATACCTGAAATCCAACCAACAAAAAAACGAGTAAAACAGAAAGTAAAGCAACTTAGCCAAATGAAATCACAACCACCACAACCTTCAGATCAGGACTAAAAACTCATAACTAGATCCTTTCACTGCCACATAATCAAGGATGGAAGTAAACCGAAA